TTCAGGAGCGCTTGAGACCAGAACGGCTCCGTGTGCTGGGCTGCACCCCCCAGAGCGTCAGCAGCAGCTCCGGGAGGGGGATCCTGCCCCTCTGCTGCGGCCGGGGAACTGCAGCGCTGGGTGCAGAGCTGGGGTCCTCCGCATAAGAAGGCCATGGAGACGTTGGGGCAAGGGTGGAGGAGAGGCCACGAGGATGCTCAGGGGCTGGAGCAGCTCCTGCATGGAGCCAGGCTGGGAACACTGGGGCTGCATGGAGAGCTCAGAGCAGCTTCCAGTGTCTGAAGGGGGCTACAAGGATGCTGGAGAGGGACTATTAGTCAGGGACTGCAGCAATAGGAAAAGGGGTGATGGGTTCAAACTGGAGATAAAGCAGAAGCTCTTCCCTGTGAGGGTGCTGAGGCGTGGCACAGGGTGCCCAGAAGCTGTGGCTGCCCCATCCCTGGCAGTGCTCAAGGCCAGGTTGCACACAGGGGCTTGGAGCAAGCTGCTCCAGTGGAAGGGGTCCCTGCCCGTGGCAGGGCTTGGAGCTGGATGGGATTAGACTCCCTTCAACCCAGTCCTGGGGCTCTGTGCTCTGCCAGCACCAGCTCCCGGCTCCTCCTTTGGCAGACCACACCGGCGTCGAAGACGTAGAAGCCTTCATGGGCCCCCAGCCCCTCACCCTCGCACTCCCAAAGCGCTTTCTCATACCACGGCAGTTCACCAGTGCCATGTTGACAGGGGGGTCACCGCTGCTGTAGCTTCTGCCTTTGGTGTAGGCCCTGGTGGCCGAGCCGCAGCCCAGCTGCTGGCAAACCACCTCCGCATCCATCATGTCCCAGATGGGGTCTGCCACCGGGCCCCAGCGTCCCCGCAGCTCACCTCCACCTTCCCCATCGCAGGGACCGCTGCCGCCCGCCAGCCTCAGCTCCAGTGCGTCTGCACCACGGCACCGGCCCAGCCTCAGCCATAGCCAGTGCCACATCACGCGGCCGGTGTCCCGGCACCACCGGCATCCCCCACCTCACCTGTGCAGGTCACCCCCACATCGCGCTCGTGGCTGCAGAAGTGCTGGCCCCATTCAAAATGGGGACAATCCTGCAGCGTTGCCTCGTTGCCATTGCAGAAGAAGACGTGGAGCCAGATGCGGCCGGTGCCCTGCCCAACGGAGCGTACGGGGACGCCGTGGCCGCCGTGCCACAGCCGAGCTGCCGGCACACCACGGTGGCCCAGTGGGCGTCCGAGTCGAAGTCGTAGCTGCAGACGGAGCCCCATTCACCTTCATGCTCACCTCCACCCTCCCGGCGCAGCGCCACCACCACCCACCAGCCGCAGCTCATCGGGGCCCTGCACCGTGCTCAGCTCAGCCTGGGGCTCTGCGGTGCTCCGCGGCTGCCCCACGCTGAGCTGCACCCACAGAGAGCCCAGCACCCTCACAGGCACCATCTCACACACCAGACTCTGCCTCCTGGGTCGGGCTGGGTGATTTATAGGCAGCGCACAGCCAATGGAGGCGCCTTTCTGAGCCCGTTATCAGTTGGGTTATCTCCCATGTGGGGAGGCCTCGGGCTCCAATAACCTGCTCCGTACCAAATATGAGGCTCAGCTCCGTTCTCAGCGGATCACACGCCTTGCAGGAGGGTAGGAGCCCGGATGCCCCCAGTGTGAACCAATAACACCTCCCCCCCCTTAGCACCCGGTGCTGCAACAGGGCGCACGACCAGTCCTGCATCCCCCCCCATGGCACTGACCCTGCTGCGGCGCCTGCCAAGAGCTTCAATGGCAACAGGATTTTCACCCCAAAACCTACCAAACCCCGCAGGCCGCTGACCAGCACGGAGCAAAGCCCAAGGAGCCCGGGCACAGCAGCACCCATCCTTGGGGTGCTCCCCTCCATAGGGTGCCTGCAGACCCGGAGTGGGGGGGGCCCTGAGGTGGCAGCAGCGCCTCACCGCGGTGCCTGCAGGTGGCCCATGGCGGTGCCGGCAGCTGTGGCAGGCAGGAAGGAGGCGGTTTCCCCCCCCTGCAAGCGGCTGTCGGCATCGACCACACGCAGCTCCCCAGCCACCTGCGGGGCTCCCGATAACGCCGCAGCGGCACCTGCCTGCGCTCGTGCCGCCGAGGGGCACGGGGCCCCCATCCGCAGCCGCTGGGGACCCCGGGCCAAGCCGGGAGCAGCAGCAACACCCGACGGGGGCGGGGGGTGCAAGGAGCAGGAGCGAGCTCCAGGGCTCGCTTGAGCCGGGCTTCACCTGGCGGACTCCATCAGCGCTGAGCAGCGCCGGCGGCCACAGGGGAAATGAATGGAGAGGCTGCGGAGGCAGCTTCCCCTTGAAGAGCTGCTGATGGCAAAGGCACCCGACGTGCTGGAACAGGGGTGAGCCAGGGCACATAGGAAACACGGGGGGCCGAGAGGCCCCTTGAGCGGTGCCTGTGGCCCAGGGGCTGTGCCCACCGCGAGCCAGGAACCGGCTGCCTTCAGACGTCCCCGTTATCGCCGTGGGGAGCGCACGGGGCTGCCCCAGCGCTGGCGGCCCCCGGCACGTCCCCCATGGCAGGACCCTGCCTGACCCTGCTGCACCGTGACTCCCACGGGGGCACAAACACCGGGAGCGCCCGCACACGCAGCCCGTGCAGGGCCGCCCCCAACGGCACAAACGGGTTCGATGCGGAACGGCTCCGTTAGCTCCGCGACGGGAGCGCGGGAAGAGGGCGCGCCAACGCCGCGCCTGGCCCCGCCCATTCAGGGACTGGACACGCCCCCCCCTCCTTGGTCCAGCCTGAATCGGAGCTGAGCTCTGACCCCAGGGCAGCCAGACCTTCTCCCCCTCTTCCTCAATGAGAAGATCCCAAGGAAAGGAGTGCACCATGGGAACAGAGAATCACAGAATCCCAAGGGTTGGAAGGGGCCTCAGAAGATCATCTGGATTAACCCCCCTGCAAGAGCAGGGTAACCTGGTGCCAGTCCACAGGAACTTGTCCAGGAGGACCTTGTATATCCCCAAATGTAGGGGACTCCACAAACCCCCTGGGCAACCTGTTCCAGTCTCTGTCACTCTCACAGTAAAAAAGATTCTCCTGATGTTCACATGGAACCTCCTATGCTCCAGTTCACACCCATTGCCCCTTGTCCTGTCACTGGACATCCTGAAAAAAACCTAGCTCCATCATCCTGACACTCACCCTTTACATATTTGTAACCATTGATGTGCTCACCCCTCAGTCTCCCCCAACTTAAGAGACCCCAGCTCCCTCAGCCTCTCCTCTGAGGGAGATGTTCCACTCCCTTCATCATCTTTGTGGCTCTGCGCTGGATTCTTTCAAGCAATTCCCTGTCCTTCTTGAACTGAGGGGCCCAGAACTGGACACAGTATTCCAGATGCAGCCTCACCAAGGCAGAGTAGAGGGGGAGGAGAACCTCTCTTGCCCTACTAACCACCCTCTTTCTAATGCACCCTAGGATGCCATTGGCCTTCTTGGCCACAAGGGCACATTCCTGGCTCATGGTCATCCTCCTGTCCCACCAGCACCCCCAGGTCCCTTTCCCCTTCACTACTGTCCAGCAGGTCAACCCCCAGCCTGTACCGGTACATGGGGTTGTCTACACCAGATGCCAGACTCTACACTTGCCCTTGCTGAATTGCATCAGTTCTCCCCCTAAGAGACTGTCCAGCCTGCAGGGTCTCGCTGAATGGCAGCACAGCCTTCTGCTGTGTCAGCCACTCCTCCCAGTTCAGTGTCATCAGCGAACCTGCTGAGGGTTAGCTCAGTTCCCTCATCCAGGGCGCTCAGGGAGCTGCTTAAACAGCCCTGGTCCCAGCACCGACCCCTGAGGTGCTCCGCTGGTCACAGACCTCCAGCTAGATTCTGCCCATTGACCACAACTCTGCCTTCTTCCCTTCAACCAGCTCTTGATCCACCTCACTGCCTGATCATCAAGCCCACACTTCCTTAGCTTATCTATGAGGATGCTGTGGGAGACAGTATCAAATGCCTTACTGAAATCAAGAAAAACCACATCTACCGCTCTACCATCATCCATCCACCTAGTTACTCCCTCATAGAAGGCTATCATGTTAAGATCATAGCTGACTTCCCCTGGTAAAACCATGTTGGCTGCTCTTGATGACCCCCTCATCCTTGGTATGTCTAGAGATGGTGTCAAGAATAAGTTGTTCCATCACCTTTCCAGGGATGGAGCTAAGGCTGACCGGTCTATAATTACCCGGCTCCTCCTTCTTGCCCTTCTTACAGACTGGTGTGACACTTGCCACCCTCCAATCCTCAGGCACCTCTCCTCTTTCCCACGACTTACCAAAGGTGATGGAGAGTGGCTGAGCAATAACCTCCGCCAGCTCCCTCAGCACCCATGGGTGTATTCCATCCCAGACCCATCGATTTATAGATGTCCAGACTGCTTAACTGATCCCTAACCCAATCCTCATCTACCAAAGCAAACTCCTCCTTTGTCCTGGCTCCTGCTGGGGCTACAGGAATCTTGGGCCCGTGGGGAGACCATGAGTTTGCCCAGCAATTCCTTGTTTAACCATTTCTGCTGGTCTCCTGGCTCCCTTACTTGATTTCCTACCCATTGGGACACTCTGATCCTGAGCTAGAAGAAGTGGTCCTTAAATGCTGACCAACAATCTTGAGCTCCTTTACCACCTAATACCCTTTCCCATGAAACTTCCCTTAGCAACTCATTGAAGAGGCCAATGTTGGCCCTTTGGAAATCCAGAACTGTGGCCTTGCTAGGTATTCTATTCCTCCCACACAGGATCCTGAACTCCACCATCTCATGGTCACTGCAGCCAAGGCTGCCATTGACCATCACCACTTGAACCAGACCCTCCTTTGTTGGTGAGTACTGGATCCAGCAGCGTTCCTCTCCTTGTTGGTTTGTCCACCATTTGCATGGAGTATCATCAATGCACTGGAGGAACCTCCTCAACTGTGAATGATTGGCTGTGTGAGCCTGCCAGCAAATACAGGGGTAGTTCAAATCCCCCATGAGGACCAAGGCTTCACCCACCTGCACCTGCAGGAGTTCTTTGCAGCCATGCTCTATGTGCTGGAGGACAACGTGGAGGTGGTTGGTGACTCAAGGGATATCTCAAAGGATGTAAAGGTGTTGCTAGAAAGCTACAGCGAGTCCGGAGGGCTTGAAGGTCACAGTGAGATTCCTGTGCGGTTTGGTGAGCCAAGGATGCAGAGAGTACATGGACAACACCATCGGGTGCAGAACCTCAGCACGAGCCAAGGAGGAGCTGCTGAGGTGGCTGGGGAGCACGGAGGCACCTCCCAGCCTGGCCAAGGGATGAAGCTGGCCTCGTTGGACACGTTCCACTTCTTGTTAGAGATGAACGATGAGAGCTTCGCACAAAGGGCGCTGGGGGCTTCAGTGACGTGGAGCTGCAGGACACGAAGCTGACCCTGTATGACCAAATGGCTCTTGCCTTCTGCATCAGGCACTGGCCTGGGCTGGGCTCTGTCACCTTCCCGGGATGCTCCTTCCACCATCAGGACCCCAAGACCGAGGCAGCAGCATCAGTGCCAAGGTAACTACACCTCCGGAGACCCAAAATCCCAGAGATTCCTCCTTTCCCACCCCAAAGGATGCTTCTAAAGGCACTTGAGCTCCTTGCCCTCAAACACCTTGTCCTTTGCTGGGGTTTAGCTCCTCCCACCAAAACTTGTCCTTTCGTGGATTCATAGATGAGTTTGGGTTGGAAGGGACCTTCAAAGCTTGCATCCAATCCAACCCCCTGCCACGAGCAGGGACATCTTCATCTAGATCAGGTTGTCCAGGACCATCCAGCCTGGCCTGGAATGCCTCCAGGAATGGAGATGGAGCATCTTGGCCTTAACAAACCCATCTGTGCCCAGGGGCTCATCTGGCTTCACATCCCCCTGCTTGCATGCAAAGAGCACAGCCCCGATGGGAGCTTTTAAGCGCACCCCAAGTTCTGCTCGTGCTCCTTTGTGCCTCCAAAGCCACGGGGGTCCCTCCCAAGAGCTGGTGCCAAGCTCTGCTGCTGGTGCCAAATCCAGGCGCTCCTGGTGAAAGCCACCCGTGGCTCTGTGCCCTGCAGCTCTGGTCCCTTGGATGCCGGGGGACCAGCCCGGTCCCATGGCTGAGCAGCAGCCCCAGGAGCTGCGTTCCCCATGGATGTGCTCTGCCGGGCGCTGCGGCACCCTGGTAGTGACCTGCAGGTGCTCCGGTAAGAGGCTGAGCTGGGGTGGGTGGGTGCTGGAGGGGAGCACATGGGTGCTGCTCTAGGGTGGATAAGAGGGAGCTATAGGGTGAGGCCAGGCTTTCATTGGCCATGGGAGGGGTGGTCCCTTCATGCTGATTGGCTGTGGGGTGAGAGGATGGGGTCCCTCCATGGTGATTGGCTGGGAAGTGAGAGGGTGGGATCGCCCCATGGTGATTGGCCCTGCAATGGGTGGGTGAGGTCCCTCATGATGATTGGCTGTGCTAAGGGTGAATGTGTGCTCTCCATGCTGATTGGTCGTGAGGTGCCTTGAGGCTGATTGCCTGGGAAGGGGGGTGTGGGAAGGTGGGGACACTCCATGCTGATTGGCTGTGCTTCAGTGAGAGTGTTCCCTCCATGCTGATTGGCCAGGTGGTGGGTTGGTGTGTTCCTTGAGGTTGATTGGCTATCTGGTGGGTGGGCATGGACCCTCTATGCCGATTGGCTGGTGGGGCGGAGCTCCGTGACCCCCATGCCCATTGGCCGGTGGCGGTGTTCTGTCTGGGCTGTCCCCCAGGCTGCAGTGGTGCCGGCTGCCCGAGAGCTGCTGCTGGCCCAGCACCGCAGCCTGGAGCGCCTGGTATGGGGGGACACTGCGCTGGGGAGGCACCGTGCCGTGTGCCTGCTCTGCCAGGGGCTGCGGCAGCCCGGCTGCTGCCTGCGTGCACTGCGGTGAGAGCCCGGCACGCGGCGTGTCCCTGAGCATCCCCCAGCATCCCTGGGCATCCCCATGGCACACACAGGCATCCCTGAGCATCCCCATGGCAACCCCGGGAGCCACTGAGCATCCCCATGGCACCCGCAGGCATCCCTGAGCATCCCCATGGCAACCCCGGGAGCCACTAAGCATCCCCATGGCACCCGCAGGCATCCCTGAGCATCCCCCTCGTATCCCTGGGCACCACTGGGAATCCCCATAGCAGCCCCAGTCATCCGTGAGCATCCCTATAGCACCCACGGGCACCCCAGAGCATCCCCATGGCAACCACGGGGACACCTGAGTATCCCCATGGCACCCACAGGCATCCCTCAGCATCCCCATGGCAACTACAGGTCCCTGAATATCCCCCTGAGGTACCAAAGAGGCATTCCATAGCATCCCCAGCACCCCCGGGCATCCCTGGGCATTCCCCCGGTACCATCTGGCATTCTCGAGCATCCAGAGCATCCCCATGGCATCCCCCCCCGTGCATCCCCAGCATCCCCCTGGCATCGCTGAGCATCCCTTTGGACACCCACAGACCTCCCATAGCATTCCCCAGCAACCCTGCACATCCCTGAGCACCCTCCTGGCACCCACAGCATCCCTGGGCATTTCCCAGGCAGCCAAAGCCCTGGGGCGGATGGGAGCACTGCAATGGTACCCAAAGGATCCGCCTGGGCTGGCCTCATCCCTGTGTCCCGCTCTCTCAGGGCACTGGCTCCGGGTACTGACCACAGGTGGGGTGGCGCTGGCTCTTTCCCTGCAGTCTGCGCTATTCCCGCCTCAGCAGCGCCTGCTGCAAGGACCTGGCCGCTGTGCTGAGCACCAGCCCCTGCCTGGAGGAGCTGGATTTGTCCTTCAGCGAGGGGCTGCGGGGACACAGGGTGCCGCCAGCTCCGGAGCCCCTCCTGCCCGCTGCGGGCCCTGGGGTAAGGGGCTGGCTGTGCCCTTGCACCCCTGTGCGAGTGCCGAGGGCTCAGGGAGGGACAGGAGGGGCATGGAACCTGCCCCAAGCATGGGGGCGCAGGGGAGGAGCTGCTGCCTGCAGCCTGCATCCTGCATCCGCTGGGATCGGGGCAGAACCGCTCCACGTCCTTCCCTCTCCCGTTTCCCAGCTGTGGGGAGCAGATCCATAGAGATCTCTATAGACCCCATCTATTGCTGGGAACACGCGTGTTGGTGTTGCTGGATGCCAAATAAAGGCGCTGGGGCCCTTATTCCCTTTTCTTCCTCCGCCCTTCTCCCTGCCCCACTCACACCCAGGGACCCATCTGTAGGTCCAGCTCCTGCCGCACATCCCCAAGGGATGGTTGATGTCCCCGGGAGCAAGGTGCCAGCCTGGAAGTGAGTCTCCAGCCAGCTTGGGAGTTTTAGAGAGGGAAAACCATGGGAATTCACGGTGAAACTAAACCCAGATCCCTGCAGCGCTGCTGCAAGAGGGACACCTGCGGAGCTGCTGTGCTGTGGTCCTGGGCACGGAGAGGTGACCTCCATGGCCGGGGGCCACCCGTCCTTGGGGGCAGCTCCAGCACCCGCACTTGTGTCCCCGTGGCCTCTCGTGTGCTGCGGCCGCAGCATCCTCACAGCAATGTCCCCAAGGTGCCAACGTCAGCATCATCGTAGCCTGTGTCCCCTGGGGGCTGCTCCGGGGGGTCCCCTGTGCCCCCTGGGGGGGGACGGCTCCCACCTTGGGGGCAGCAGAGGCTGGTGCCTTAGTGGGGGCCGCTAAACCCCATCTGGATCTTGCTGCAGCCCCATGGATTTGCTGCTGCTCCCCCCCAGCCACCGCAGCCAAGCCCCCCCCGAGGTGGCTCTGCAGGGCACAGGGACACTCACCTGCATGTGCCACCCCCTCGGGGGTGTCCCCAGTGCCAAGGGACTCCTCTGGCAGAGCCTCGGCGTCATCGTAGCCATCGGGGGGTCCGTCCTCAGGCAGGGCAGGGGGGCCTGGGGCAGCGATGGGGAGGGGATGGGGGTGACCCGGAGGCCGTGGCAGGGCTCTGGCTGTGTCACCCCCCCTCCATACACAGAACCAGGGGTGCCCGGGGGGCGCTGGGGCTGCTCATCCAGAGCCACAGCTGAGCTGGGCTCATCCAGGCCAGGGGACCCCGTGTCTCATTAACTCCCCTGTCCTAAGGGGGCGTCCCTGCCGGGATCCTGTCCCCATGTCCCTACCTGGGGCTGTGCCGGGGTCACTCTCCTCCACATCCTCTGCAGTGTAATAGGGCAGCTTCGTCTCTGAGCCCTCTGTTGGGGAGCCTGGTGGGGAGAGGGCACAGTGGGACAGGGGACACCCACACGCCATGGGATGAGCCGCAGCCACACCGCCAGGAGCCAGGGCTGTGGTGGGGCCGTGGGGCAGAGCTACCCCAGTACGGGCACACGTGCACCAACCTGGGCGACTGGGCACCTTCTGGGACCCTCTGAATCCCGGTGTAGTCCAGCTCCTCATAGACAGCATCCAGGGCTCTGCCAGGCTCTGGAATAACAGCAGCAGCGCTCAGCAGGAGCAGCGGGGTCACCAATGACCCCCCTCTGAGCCCCGGGACCCCCAAAGCAGCTCTGCGCCGCAGCACCCACCTCGTGGCCCAGCCCAGGCCCGGTACATCTGCAGAGCCAGGGCAGCGAGCGCCAGGCACAGCAGCACCCCCAGCACCGCGCACAGCACCGTCGGCACCGGCACCGGCCCGGCCGCTGGCCGCGGCGTGTGGGGCTGCCTGCGGGGCCATGGAGGAGCAAGGTGAAGCGAGGCCGTGGAGCGCGGCCGGCCCGGCGCAGGCCTCAGCATCAGAGCTACCTGTGAGTGTGGGGCTCCCCGGGGACGGGCTAGCATCCCCTCGGCGCCGTCCTCAGCGCACACCACATGCGCGTCCCCGCCGGGCCCGCACGGCTGCAGGCGCCAGGGAGCCGAGGGGCAGCGCCACAGCGAGCGGGCCCCGTCCTCGCAGCGCACCCCGGCGAGCCAGGCGGGGGCCGGGAGCGGGGCAGCGCCGGCCCCGAGGCTGCCCCCGTCCCCGCAGCCCAGCTGCCTGCAGGCGGCGGCGGCCGTGGCCGGGCTGGTGCCGTCGGCGCACACGCGGCCCCACGTCCCGTTGTAGAGGAGCTCCAAGTGCCCGCTGCAGCCTGCCTGGCATCGGGGTTACCCGAACCAGCGCTGCCCTAGCCGCGGGGGGCAAGGCGGGGGTCACCGCACGGCTCCGGGTGCGCGCCCCCGCCCTGCCCCTGCCCGTGCCCGTGCCCGTGGCCGCCACTGACCTGAGCACACGGCGCCGGCCCCGCCGCCGAGCCGGCAGCCGCGCTGCGCTGGGGCCGGGCAATCCCAAAGGGACGCCTCGCTGCCGGCGCAGCCACCGGCACCCGCCCACGGCGGGGCCGCCCCGGGGCCGAAGCGAGCGGAGCCGGGCGCGTCCAGCGCTGCCCCGCAGCCCAGCTGCCGGCACACGACGGCGGCGTCCGGGATGTCCCACGCGTCCTGGCACACGGGGCTCCAAGCGCCCTCAACGTAGAGCTCCACACGCCCGGCACAGCGCCCAGGGCCCCCCGCCAGCCTCAGCCGCCGGCTGCCTGCGGGGCACGGACGGGATGCACCGGGGCTGCTGCCTGCGGGGCCCCCACCGCCCGGCCCATAGCGGGGCACTATTCCCTCACTCCCTCACTCACCGGAGCACACAAGAGCCAGAGCCTCGCCAGCGCCGCTCCCAGCACTGGCCCTGCCCGAGACGTTGCACCGCCAGGGCGTCCTCGCTGCCCGCGCACCGCACCTCCTGCAGCCCCACGCCGCCGGGGCCCGCCACGGGGTACACCCGCTCCAGCTCGCCGCAGCCCAGCTCCCGGCACGCCACGGTGGCCGCCTGGGGGGCCCGGAGCCCCGCGGACACAGCGGCCCAGCTGCCCGGGCTCGTGGGGACCTCCAGCCGCCCCTCGCACCGGCTCTGCCCCTCCAGCAGCCGCAGGGGCTCGGCAGCGCCTGCAGGATCCACCCGAGAAGCTGGGGCTGCCCCATCCCTGGCAGTGCTCGAGGCCAGCTTGGACACGGGGGCTGGGAGCAAGCTGCTCCAGTGGAAGGGGTCCCTGCCCGTGGCACTGCTTGGAACCGGATGGGCTTTAATCTCCAATCAACCCGAACCACGCTGGGATTCTGTGCTAAAGCACCGGTGGTGCCATGGGGCTGCAGCACAAGGCCCCGGGACGATGCTGGGCCCCACCTCAGCCCCCCTTCACCACAAAGGACCCCGCATCCTCCATTCCCAGTGCTTGAGGGGTCCCCACAGCCCCACGAGGCTCTTCCCCCCCGGGTCCCGCACGCACCTGAGCACTCGACCGCAGCAGCGTGCCCGGGGGGGCAGCTTGGCTCCCCCAGCACCGCCACGGGGCACTGGCCTGGGTGCTGCTCGCTGCCGCTGCAGCCAAAGGCATCCACGCGCAGGGTCCCGTTCCCGCTGCCGAAGGAGCCTCCCGGGAGCACGGCGCTGGCAGGGCCGCAGCCCAGGTGGTGGCAGAGGACATGGGCATCGGGCAGGTCCCAGGCGCTGGCGCAGAGGGACCCCCACGTCCCCCCTGCCATCACCTCCACCCGCCCGGCGCAGCGCGAGCTGTGGTTCGCCAGCCGGAAGCCGCTGTAGGCTGGGGCACAAAAGGGGGTTGGGGTGAGAATGGCGCAGGCATCCCACCCCCGCTGGCCCCGCTGCTTACACGAGCAGACGATGCTGGCGTGGCCGCTGCAGGCCTGGGCGCTCCGTGCCCGCTGCCTGCAGGCGCTCAGGAGGAGCTCGCTGCCGCTGCACTCGAATCCTGCGTCCCATTGCGGCTCCGATGCCGCCGGGAACAGGCCGGCCCCGGGCACAGCCAGCACCGAGCCGCAGCCCAGCTCCCGGCACACGACCTGGGCAGCCTTCAGCTCCACAGCATCCTCACAGAGCCCGGCCCACGCTCGGCCCTGCCGCACCTCCAGCCGCCCCGCGCAGGGGCCATCGCCACCAACCAGCCGGGAGAAGCCTGCGGGGAGAGGCCCCGCGGCGGTGCTCAGGGATCGGAGCAGCCCTGACGGGAAGGACTTGGGCTGCTGCCTGAGGAGCAGCTCCCCACGACCCGGCTTCAGGGAGCGCTTGAGACCAGAACCCCCCCGGCTCCGTGTGCTGGGCTGCACCCCCAGAGCGTGAGCAGCAGCTCCGGGAGGGGATCCTGCCCCTCTGCTGCGGGAACGGGAGAAGGCTCCTCAGTATTAGAGGGCCTTAGAGATGTTGGGGCAAGGGTAGAGGAGGCCACGAGGATGCTCAGGGACTGGAGCAGCTCCTGCATGGAGCCAGGCTGAGAACATTGGGGCTGCATGGAGAGCTCAGAGCAGCTTCCAGTGTCTGAAGGGGCTAGAGAGATGCTTGGAAGGGACCCTCATCAGGGAGTGCAGCGATAGGACAAGGGGTGATGGGTTCAGATTGAAACAGGGGGGATCCAGGTTGGAGATAAAGCAGAAGCTCTTCCCTGTGAGGGTGCTGAGGCGCTGGCACAGGGTGCCCAGAGAAGCTGTGGCTGCCCCATCCCTGGCAGTGCTCAAGGCCAGGTTGGACACAGGGGCTTGGAGCAAGCTGCTCCAGTGGAAGGGGTCCCTGCCCGTGGCAGGGCTTGGAGCTGGATGGGATTTAAGCTCCCTTCAACCCAGACCTGGGGCTCTGTGCTCTGCCAGCACCAGCTACCGGCTCCTACCTTGGCAGACGACGGCAGTGTCATAGTCGTGGAAGCCGTCATAGGGCCCCCAGCCCCTCACCTCGCACTCCCAAAGCGCTTTCTCGTGCCCGCGGCAGTTCACCAGTGCCATGTTGACAGGGGGGTCACCGCTGCTGTAGCTGCTGCCTTTCATGTAGGCGCTGGTGGCCGAGCCGCAGCCCAGCTGCTGGCAAACCACCTCCGCATCCATCATGTCCCACGAGTCATCTGCCACCGAGCCCCAGTGTCCCCGCAGCTTCACCTCCACCTTCCCATCGCAGGGACCGCTGCCGCCCGCCAGCCTCAGCTCCAACGCGTCTGCACCAGGGCACCGGCCCAGCCTCAGCCATAGCCAGCGCTGCAGCACGCGGCCGGTGTCCCGGCACCACCGGCATCCCCCGCCTCACCTGTGCAGGTCACCCCCACATCGCGCTCGTGGCTGCAGAAGTGCTCGCCCCATCCGAAACTGGGACAATCCTGCAGCGTTGCCTCATAGCCGTTGCAGAGAACGTGGAGCCAGATGCGGCCGGTGCCCTGCCCGAACGGAGCGTACGGGGACGCCGTGGCCGCCGTGCCACAGCCGAGCTGCCGGCACACCACGGTGCCCCTGCGGGTGTCCCAGTCGAAGTCGTAGCTGCAGACGGAGCCCCATTCACCTTCATGCTTCACCTCCACCCTCCCGGCGCAGCGCCCACCACCACCCACCAGCCGCAGCTCATCGGGGCCCTGCGCCGTGCTCAGCTCAGCCTGGGGCTCTGCGGTGCTCCGCGGCTGCCCCACGCTGAGCTGCACCCACAGGAGAGCCCCCAGCACCCTCACAGGCACCATCTCGCACACCAGGACCCCCCCTCTGCCTCCTGGGTCGGGCTGGGTGATTTATAGGCAGCGCCGCAGCCAATGGAGGCAGCAGCACCTTCTGAGCCCGTTATCAGTTGGGTTATCTCCCATGTGGGGAGGCCTCGGGCTCCAATAACCTGCTCCGTGCCCAAATATGAGGCTCAGCTCCGCTTCTGGCGTCACACACCTTGCCAGGGGGGGTCAGAGCCCGGATGCCCCCAGTCTGAACCAATAACACCTCCCCCCGTAGCACCCAGTGCTGCAACAGGGCGCACGGACCCATCCGGCATCCCCCCATGGCACTGACCCTGCTGCGGCGCCTGCCAAGAGCCCAATGGCAACAGGATTCACCCCAAAACCTACCCAAACCCCCACAGGGCCGCTCTTAGCACCAGCACGGGGCAAAGCCCAAGGAGCCCGGGCACAGCAGCACCCATCCTTGGGATGCTCCCCTCCATAGGGTGCCTGCAGACCCGGAGTGGGGGGGCCCTGAGGTGGCAGCAGCCCCCCCCCGCCTCACCGCGGTGCCTGCAGGTGGCCCATGGCGCTGCCGGCAGCTGTGGCAGGCAGGAAGGAGGCGGTTTCCCCCCTGCAAGCAGGGACCCGCTGTCGGCATCGACCACACGCAGCTCCCCAGCCACCTGCGGGGCTCCCGATAACGCCGCAGCGGCACCTGCCTGCGCTGATGCCGCCCAGAGGGGCACGGAGCCCATCCGCAGCCGCTGGGGACCCACCGGGCCAAGCCGGGAGCAGCAGCAACACCCGACGGGGGCAGGAGGTGCAAGGAGCAGGAGCGAGCTCCAGGGCTCGCTGGAGCCGGGCTTCACCTGGC